TAAAATGAAAGATGAAAAGGAACCTGTGGTAGTCTAATTTCGAAATTTTCCGGCAAAAATTCCACAGATTCAGCAACAACTCCGGCAACAACTTCGACAACAACACAACCTTAAATTAAAAGCTTAAACTAAGTAAATAAACATAAAAACATAAGAAGAATCGAAAATAGGGAAGAATTTCGACCTTAAATGGGTAAAAATTCCGGAATTGAAGTATGATCGTCTCCTCTTGGTCGTCGGTAATGGAAGTCTAGGTCGCCGGTATTAGTGGCAATGGAGGTTTGGACGGCGGTGGAACCTTTCGTTTGTGCAATGGAGGTTTGGACGGCGGCGTCGGTGGTGTAAGAAAGACCGGCGATGGAGAGAATGAGAGAAAAAGGCAGACAGAATACGCAGGAAACAACGAACTGGAGGGGTTTTCTGCGCGGACCTTTAGCGGCGACGAGTATTAGCGGCGACGCATGGGTATTAGCGGCGACAAGCCTGGAGGGAAAAGTCAGCGCCTTTTTTCACGCCGTTACAACTGTTCGATTGAATACGGATCGAACGGATAGGGTTCATTTGACGCGTATCGCTACTGTTGAGTATTAGCGGCGACGGCTTTAGCGGCGACAATGGGCATTAGCGGCGACATGTAACGCGTCATTTACATGTCGACGCTAATGCCTAGTGTCGCTACTAAAGCCGTCGCCGCTAATACCCACATTTCTTGTAGTGCAAGCTTTAAATAAAGAAGCGTATGTAAGCTCAAAGGGTCTAATACGTGAAGAATGCATCTGGTTGAATTTCAATATGGTTTCTCTTTCTCTATACAAATCCCCACTGTTTCCTTTCCTGGTTGTGCAAACCCTGATGGCATTGTTTGATGACGAAGGCTTAGAGTTTTCGGAGTGTTGAACCACAAGCCTAGCATTGATTGAGCTGCCAAAGTGCTATGAAGTACAAAATCGGGTGATTTCACCAATCACATGTTTGTGGGAATGCAATCCAGATGTTAGGATTTAATTGGGCATGAATCCGCAAGAGATTTTTCATAGAATGTACAAGATTTTAGGATGGAAAGCAATCATTGTTCTTTCATGTCGTCTGTTATCAGTTTCAGTTTCGACTTGCAGATAAATTTTCTTCGCGGGAGAGTATGAAAGGTAGTTGGTGGACGGACCATATGGATATGTCATACGTGAAGCAAGATGGGTCAACTATCTAATATCTATTGTAGAAGTATTTTATACGGAAGTTGACTTATAAAGATAAAAGGAGTTTCAAAAACATTCAAAATATACCATCGACGTTTTGTATGTTCAAAAATATCATTCAATTAAGCTCTTTGTACAAAAATTACTAAGGAACTATACATTTTGTTCAAATCTCACGGTAATTGGATCTTTGGGTTGACATATAATGTTGAGTTAGCATGTTTAGCTGGTGTGTTAGCATATCTACTCAGCATTAAATGAAAAATACATCTTATAAATCGATTTAGGGCGCAATGCATACGACTCCTCTTGATCAATCGACTTCTTCAATATTCATGGCTTCTCCCTGGAAATCATTCAACACCAGCTCAAGCTCAAAATTTTCCAAGTCAAAGAGCACAAATTATAAGGCAAATCCTTGTGATTATGGGCACCCTTCTTGTATATGCACATCAACCACAAAGACAAATCTTGGTAAAAAGAAGTAGGGTTTGTCCTAACTCTTTAGTAAGTGTATCTAAAAGCTTTATCATTGTTTTTCTTTTAGAAAATTGTTTGTTTATGTTAATTGTTAATTGAATATGAAGGATCCAAAGAAGGAAAAATGTCATTTATGGGAATGGATTGATGAAGATGAAGAAGTTATAACAAAGAACAAGAATAAGAAAGATGAAACGCATGAACACTCCAGTGAGGTGAAAATTGCAATATTGGAACATGATTTCAGTGTCTACAAGGTGAAGATTGATAAGGAATCTAAGGGCGAGTTTGGTTCGTAGAATGTTTTTGAAAGGAATAGAATCTGTCAAAGAAATTTGAATCTGAATATACTAGAAACTTAAATGCGTTTGGTTGACATAGAATGAAATCTGATTTCTGTTTGGTTTGCTGATTTAACAAAGGAATTAGAAAATAAATTTTGTAATATGACAAAAGTACCCTTTAGTGATTTTTTGTGACTTAATTATATTTTTTAATAAACATGACAAAGTTTTATATAATTACAACATTTTTATTGAACTCTTCTATAAAATATAAATTAAAAATAACTAACATGTATTCCGTCAAACACATAAAAATCTTAAATACATTTTTTAAAATTGAAATAAAAAAATTATATATAATAATATAAAGCAACAAATGTCATCCATTATTTCCAATCTAAATTTAATAATTTAAAAAAAAATTAACCATGCACTATGTAAAATAATGTCTAGATACCTAGTTCATAATCATATCACTCTTCTAACATGAACCTCACAAAATCCTCTCGATCTTTTCCTTCCAAATTCCATAAACTTAACACGGTTTCCAGATCACGCATTATTTTTCTACTTGTTTTGAACATATCCAAGGCACTCAAAGGCACTCAATGACTGCATTTTTGAAATTTCGGGAATCACCGTCGAAGCTTTTTTTGTACTTCTGTTTCTCCTAGTATTGCTTGATTCATGCCAGTCACTGCTTTTTCAAGTTTTTCTCCAAGGACGTTAGATGCAATAGTTATTCCCTTAATAACAGCATCAACTCTTTTTCTTTTCTTTGAGCCTATGTTTGGAGATTCTTCATTTTCTGTGGTTTGTTTTTTAAAATAATTTGCTATTTGTTTAGATTGTTCTTCATTGTTTGCATCTTCTTCCATTTGCGCAAAATCCTTGGCTTTATTCCTTTGAGCTCTATCCTTTTCAAAAATGATACATAAATCCTCGTAATGAGGAAATATCTTATTTCTCCATTTTCTTGCCTCTTTATGAACCTATTTTGTATCATAAAAGGTTAGCACATAAAAATATAACATAAATATTTAAAAAGTAACAAAATATATCAAAGTTTTAACATTGTATTTGTATGTAAGAATCCTAAACTGATGGTTCAGCTGTTACAGAATGAGTGGAGCCATCATAACCAAAACCACTCGTTTTGTACCATTCACCATATCATAAATGACTTGCCAATATTTTTTCATGGTATTGATCCTTGACTCAATGTGGGGTTTACCCAATATGTCAAAGGTAGGAATTTATTCCTTCAATGCGTTTTCTACATGATGTAAATATCCAAATTTAAAACCATTATCGACTTTAAATCCTCCCAAGTTCACCATATTTACCAATGCTTCCACAAGCTTGGCATCTTTAGTTATTGTCCAGTGGTGATAGTTCCTACTTTGTTCTATCACACCTACTATTATAAACATAAAAATTTGATGAAAGAATGTATGTAATAAAAAGAAATAGCTAACCACACACACAC